GCAGGAATGTAATAAAATAGGATTTATGACTGACAGAAATATTCTGGCAAAACATCAGCGTTAGTAGTTGTGCTGAAAGGTTCTGCTAACAGAAAGTCTTCCTCGTGCGTTGTAGCTGTGCAGCATTTTATGATAGCTCACTAGAGCTGTGCTGTGATATCTTCACATGTTTCAGTCCTAACCCAACCCAGAATTCAGACACAGCAGGTTAAATTCACTTTGCACCAGTCTTCTTGATTCTGGACTATTCTCATTTTTGAGGATTCTGCAGTCTTACTGATACAGTGCTGATGATTGTTTGTATTCATGTACATATCATTCAGGAGAAGGGGAGGAATATAACACAGGTAAATAAAGTGTATAAAGTATTGATTTATGGATAGAATTAGCCATCTGCATAACTAGAAATAAAACCAGATACTTGTATGTATTCTGTATTACAGCTCCATCCAGTAGAAAACCAGGGGACCCTCTGGTTATTTCTGATATCAAGAAGGGAAGTGTTGCTCACAGGTAAGACGTTCAAGCTCCTAGTAAAAATCTGTTTCCATTGGGTAGCCAGCCAGATTCCAGTTAAACAGAAGGAGCTTGTAAAAGACTGTGCTTTTTTTTTCTTTTGCCTTTTTTAAAGGAGTTATAAATGAAAAGTCCAACATATTAAATAATTTTTTTTTAAAAAAGCCATCTTGTTTCTGTAATAATGTTCATAGCTTCTAAGATACCTTGCTTTAACGTTACTAAAATCTGATGTAAGCTTCTTTGCTTGTTCACAGAACTGGGACGCTCGAACTGGGTGATAAGTTGCTTGCAATAGATAACATTCGACTTGACAATTGCTCAATGGAAGATGCTGTCCAGATCCTTCAGCACTGTGAGGACCTTGTAAAGTTAAAGATCCGCAAAGATGAAGACAACTCTGGTATTAGGAACGAGCCTATTGTGGATTCATGTGCATTTTCATGATTTTTTGAACACAGCATTATTCTTTTACATTTAAATTTTAGTGAAATGTTTTTTCTAAACATGATTGATTTATGCTAATGCTAATCAGAGAAAGAATTTTAATGGTATATAAAGTTTGGGATGTTCTCAGTGGCTGTGTTGCCTGCAAACTTGCTATACTGCAAAACGAGGTCTTCAGTTTTCTGGAAAGGCAATTTTCTCACAAATGCAGCCGTGTAAGGTTGATCTTTCTCTGCTTAAAGATTGGTATCATGGTTAGCAAAGTATGGATCCATAGGCCTCACTTCTCCAGCAGAGTGGTGAAGTGCAGGCTTTATCCATGAACTTAGAAATTAGACTTCAGGATGACTGTCCGCATGCTTGAAGGTAGCTAGTACTTTCCACCCAGTACTAGATGGCTGATGGAGGAGCCGTGTCTCATCAGCCCAGTGGAAGTAATGGAGCTGCCATCATTTTGCCCACCTACATCCATTAATATTCCAGGATCTTCCACATTATGGATTCCATACGAGCAGGATTTCTACCTGGAAATTATAAAGCGAGTTCTGTTATGCAGAGATTTATATTACAGTGTAACACAAAAGTATGAGCTGTATACTATCTTGTCTTAAGCTCTATACAATCTCACAGCAAAAAGGAACACCCTGACATGCTTCATTATTTAAAATCATGTGGAACTCTTGAAATAGTGTTTGGAACTGCACCAGAATGCTCTTTTCCTCTAATTACTTTTGAAAGCAGGCAGACAGTATCTTCTCGGTATGATCAGTACAAAGCAAGGGTGGATGCATTTAGCACCTTGTGCAAATTGACTTTCAGAAGAAAATCTTGATCCAGCAAAATGAATGGCCACTGCTCAGTAAGATATTGTGGTTAGGTCCCTGTAGGTGGTGAGATGGGATTTGCAACACATAATTGGCCCAGTTTGGGCAAAAGCTGGCCGAATGAGCCATGGGCTGTAAATCCAAAGGGATGCCTGACTGGCAGTTGCTTTGCAAAACTGAGCAAACTGCAGTTATAGTTGCATAACCTGTTGTGAAGAGCAAACTGCAACTACATTTGGCAGAACATTGACAGGGAAAATGCCTGTAGAAGGAAGTTTGAGTTTTCCCCTGCACAAGAGAGAATCTGTCTTTTAAGTGCTCACAGCATCTAGGATCCTTCCTTCATGTTCCTGCTCTCATTTGGAAGACTCCCTCTCATTAACAACCCTGCAGAGAAATTACCAACAGACCATAGAAGAGGGATGGGAATTACAGCCATGTAGAAGATGTAGTAACTTCTCCCACGCTTCTAAACACTTGTGTGTTTGTCCTCTGCATGTTGTGTCATCCCCTCGCTCCCCCTCACCTTGTGGACTTGCCTTATTCTAGGACAGATTCCATTTCCACTGAAGCTGGCCCACATTTTCTATTGCTGTCACTGAAATGTGGTTTTCTGTCTCCAGCAATGTAAAATAACATCTTTGCTCTCTTAGGTGTTGCACACCATGGTAGCTGGTACAGATTTTAGTCTGAGTGGGATTCTTATTCCACGGTTTTCTTTTACACTTTCTCATTGCTTATTTTACAGTTACATCATGTATCTATATCAAGATTCTCACACAACTACAGTGTCCTATCCAGACACGATTGGTGTAACTGAACAGATGTACAGCTACTCAGAGACCTACAGAACAAAATGCTCTATACAAATGGTTCTTGTAACAGTTGACCAAGTGTCAAAGTCTAACTGAAAGTATTTATAGCAGATTTCAGGTACTTTGAAATCTAAAATGAATGCCTCCTGAAATGCTAAAGAAAAAATATTTTAAAAACACTAGCAAAGGTGTAGCAAAAAGTGCACTTCAGTTAAAAAAAATTTCTTGTTTATTTGCTGTTAGTTTATTTATGCATATCTGTTTTCTCACAAAGGGAATAAATGTGCTTCTCAAAACTTGACAGAAAAAAATCATTAACAAATTCCCAAAGAAAAGCTTCATGCTAGCAGATGAGTAGGCATGGACCACTCCAAAAACAATTTCTAAATCACAGAAAGAGATTAAGACTTAAACTTTTTTTTAACTTCTCGTGGCATGCTTTTTTGAGGAGCAGAAGGCAGGGAGCAGGGCTTCTTCCTCCCTAGTTGTTGTTTCCTTGCTGTCTTTCAAACTCTTCCTTTTCATATTAATTTTTAAGTATTTCTAGCTTCTAGATCTTCTTTCTGCCTTTTGCTTTTCCTTTCTCTGCTGTCTCTCCAAATTCTCCCTTCTCCAGACAGTTGTATGTGTCTCAGAGCTGAGTTCCTCAGAGCCAGATGTGCAGGTGGGGCCAGCTGCAGGGGAGTACAGCAGGGGAATACCTGGCCTGTGCTTCCCTCAGATTGGGCTCTTGTTTCCCCTTTTCTCTCTGTTGATCAGATGTTACTCTTGAAGAGCAAGAGACTAGTTGACAGAGTAGAGGTGCTGCAGCACGAAGGATCTGCTTTCATTAAATGTGCTTCCCAAGAACTATCCACAATTGCATCACAAGAAAAGAAAGAAGGAAATGTCTGGAGGTCAGCCTTGATGGGGCTCTGAGCAACCTGATCTAGTTGAAGATGTCCCTGCTCAGTGCAGGGGAGTTGGACTAGATGGCCTTTAACTGTCCCTACAAACCCAACATATCCTATGATTCTGTGATCCTATGAAAATCTCAAAAATGTGAAACACAAAACCATGGTAGTTTGATTGTATTTCCTCCCTTGGTGGAAGTATGTTTTCAGCCGTTTTTCTCCTTTTCTTCTTTTCCTGCCAGCTACCCAGACTTCACAAACAATTTTTTCTCCTTATTAACATAGTGGCTACCACCCTTTTTTGAATATCAGAGTTCTTTGCTTTCATGGCAAAACTGCCCTTTGTTTTGAATTCAGGCCACAGATGTGCCATGTTCTTGGATAACTCACAGTTCTGCTGCCTTGAAAGAGCGCTGAAGAGAACAGCATAGCAATTTGACATTTGTTGCATTCTGCCATTAATTTTCTTAACTAGGGCTAGCCAGAAGATAGACATGATGGACCAATCTGGTCTCCAGTCATTCACTAAGATCTATAGACTTCCAGCTGTCATGTGGCAGGGCTGCTGTATGATTAATAACTTCTTTTTCACTTCCTGTTGATAGCAGAGAAACATGAGTATTGTGTCAACCCTTAGCAAATACCAGCTATGACATTACCAATTAGCTTGGTGGCTTGCTTTTCATCCTTGAGTTGAAGTCCTGTACCTTGCGTCACTGCCACACCTGGGTAAACGTTACCACCACTGGATCCCAGAGAATTCATCGTTGTTCCACAAATGCTCTAGCAAGCATCTTTCCTGAATAGACCCCACTAATTCTGCTCTTCTCTGATTCTATATGTGTACTATTTTCTTTATGTGGATAGCAAGAGGGAAAAGCAATGGAGTTGGGCTAAGGGGGAACTGAAGGCCTAAATTTCTCAAATTGGGAAGAAGTAAAGTGGGTGCAAACACACTAGTGTTTCTCTAGCTCTGCTTAAGTACCATATTCAGCATTAGAAGAAAGCAATTCTTTGAACCTTTGCTAGCAATGCAGGTATCTTTTTTTTCTTTTTAAAGTTTTACTTTCTGCAGAACAGAAATACAAACATTTGAATTTTCTAAGTTGTCCCAGGTTAGTTCTAGTAACATTTACGGAATGTGCATCCTAGACGTTTTCCACACTCGCTGAGCTGTTTGAAATGTCATTACCCACAGATCTAGGAAGAGTTGCCTGCCAGGCCAAACATCCTGGCTAAATACCAATATTGTAAGATGGGCAAGGGAGCATTTGCTGATTTGATCTGAAGAGAAATCTGGCTTTTTAAGTTTTAAAATAGCCCTTCACAACTCAAAGATCCTGCAGTTGATTGTTCTCCTGCTGTGATTTTTTTTTTTATGATAGTTAAAGAGGATGGACTGCATAAATACAGGAGCCTTTCCTGTTTCTGCAACACCTGTTGGGTATTGTTTAAGGAAAATATGTTTTATTTAAACTTACTCGGTGATGAAGTCTTCATTTCTGATGATTTTTTGGTGAGATTAAAATTCCAAAATAATGCAATACAACAAAATCAAGTATCATGGAGTTACTATTCAACTTAGTTGATAATTCGGAATTCAGAAGCTATTTTTTATTCTCTTACAAAAGCTGAAAACTTGTCTATCGAAAACATGGGATATTTCAGGTTCTCTTCGTAAGACAGCCGATCATCTTATCATGAGTTTTGACTTCTCCCACAGTTCTTTTAAGGAAGTTTGGTTGCCCTTGCGACAAAGGCAGCCAACAGCCTCCTGTGCTGCGTCAGGCAGAACGATGGAGCTCATCAGGTCGAGGGAGCTGATCCTGCCCCTCTGCTCATCCCTGGTGAGACGCGCCTGGAGTGCTGGGTCAAGTCGTGAGCTGCCTGGTACAAGAGAGACATGGAAATTCAGGAGCAGGTCAAGCGAAGAGCCACAAAGATGATGAAGGGGTCAGTGGATCTGTCCTGTGAGGAAAGGCTGAAAGAGCTGGGACCGTTCAGCCTGGAGAAGGCTCAGGGAGGAATTTATCTATATATATAAATGTCTCAAAGGAAGGTGCAAAGCAGACGGAGCCAGGCTCTCCTCAGTGGTGCCCAGTGACAGGACCAGAGGCACAGGCTGAAACAGAGGAGATTCCCTGTGAACATCAGGAATTTATTTTTTTTTTCCTGTGAGGATGAGTGAGCACTGGCACAGATTGCCCAGAGAGGTTGTGGAGTCTCCATCCTTGGAGCTATTCAGAAGCCACCTGGACACAGTCAGGGGCAGCCTGTTACCAGTGGCCCTTCTTGGGTGGGGGGGCTGGACAAGATGACTTCAAGAGGTCCCTTCTAACCTCAGCCATTCTGTGATTCTCTAACAAAGTAGCCTGAAGTTATGTTTTAATAGGAAAGAAGATATAAAGATTTTAAATGGAGTTAAATTTAGTCTTAGTGAAATAGGGGGAGTTTTTCTATTGACTTCAATGTCATCAGATTTTGGCAATTAAAAAAAAATTTGCACAAGAAATACTTTTTTTTCAAATTAATCCAGTAGAACATGATTAAGAAATGTATCTGAAATGCCATCCTTTGAAAATGTAGTTTGATTACCAGTCACTAGACTGAATATGCCATTTTTTTCATTCCCTCTTCCATACGAAACCAATTGCATCCCCTTGGCATTTATTGCAGATGAACAGGAGAGCTCTGGAGCAATTATTTATACTGTTGAGCTCAAGCGCTACGGTGGACCTCTTGGAATTACAATCTCTGGTACTGAAGAGCCCTTTGATCCCATCATCATTTCCAGCCTTACAAAAGGAGGTTTAGCAGAAAGGTAAATTGGAAAGCCAATTATTTTTAAACGTTCTTTTTGGAGAGATAAAGATCTATTTTGTTTACCTAAAGGTACTAATTTTCATGGTTTAGCAGTTTATTTTTTTACAATTCTCCAAATTTGAGGTTATAATCTTCTTGCTGTTGTTTAATGATTGTTGCCAAGTTCAGGAGCATGAGCAGTGTCTTAACAGGGTATTCTTGCACATAGTATACAAGACAGAGCAGACAACTGTAGTCCTTATAATAAGTCACCTAGGAAGAAGGACTGCTCGGGCTCAGAAACATTTTAGCACCCTTTTAAAAGCAATAGCTTCATATAGAACAATAGGTAAGGAAAGCACTTCATGTGTCTAAGTTTATCTGAAGTATTGTATACTTACCTGCCGCTTATTGAATACACACGCTGCACCTACGTACACCATAGCAGGCATTACCCAAGCAGTAGAGATGCTTCTCATGGTAAGTGATGGGTAGAGAATGATGAAAATGCTAAGGTTGTCTGTTGTCCATTATTTCTAAGATAGAGTCGTTGCAACAGGTACCTTTGGTGGTGGTTTCAGAGAGAATTTACAGCACACAAAACACGATGCTATGCACAGCCAGAACAAACAGCGCATTTACACAAAGAGAATTTATTTTCTTCCCTTGATGTGATCCATCCTGAAAGCCAGGTTGGTGAAAGCTGGTTACTTGCTTACACGACCATTAGCTGTTACGGTGTGAAACCTCTGGGAACTTTACTCTCAGACTCCACTGTCTGAAATTGCTCTTAAACAGGTGGGCTGCAATGAATATCATCCGTAACGATTAAGTCTACTGCGGTGACACAGAAATCCACATCTCCATGCCTCAGTTCTGCTGTTGTCACTACAACCAAAGGTGACTTGCTTTAGGCATTTCTAACAAAAGAATTATTCTGTAACATAGCTATAAAAGCAAAGTGAAAGAAAAGGAGATGAGACTTTCATGCTTCAGGTATGCAAAGAAATTGCCTTTGTTGCTCTTTATGTTTTCTTCTCAATGTTTTTCTTCTCTTTCTTATTGTAGGACTGGGGCAATTCACATAGGAGACAGAATCCTAGCAATAAATAGTAGCAGTCTGAAAGGAAAACCTTTGAGTGAAGCCATTCATTTATTACAGATGGCAGGAGAAACTGTCACCTTGAAAATCAAGAAGCAGACAGATGGTGAGTATGGTCAAGGGTAGCATCAGTGGTCTTTAATGCGTGTGGTGTTACAAATTAACGAGCGTTTAGGCCATCCCTGGGAAAAAGTCATGTCAGTAGTAAAAAGCATATTCTTAGAACTGCAGTAAAGCAAAGACCATCACCAGTTCTTTTTTTCTTTCTTTTTTTCCCTATTCAGCTACCAGTCCCAAGAAATTTTCTGTCCCTGTGGGTCACGTAAGTGAACTAAGCGATGCTGAAGATGAAACCTCTGCTGCACAAAAATCTGGCAAACTCTCAGACCTCTATTCCACTACAGTCCCAAGTGTTGACAGCGCAGTAGAGTCATGGGATGGCTCTGGTATCGATACCAGCTTTGGAAATCAAGGTACTATCAAGAATGCAATCGATATTTAAAGCAGAATTTATTGCCTTCATGGTTGACCTTCCTTTCCCTTAAAGAGAACTTTATCTGTACCAACTTTAAGATGCGTACTTTATAATGTGCCAGTGTCTCATTATGACCACATATCTCACCAGGCAGCATGATTTCTTGCACTTGGCTGGCCTCAGATTCATTCTTTCATGACAGCATGATGTGTTACGAAGCATTTATCAATACATTAAGAGGCTTTTGTTAGCTTTACTGACACCTGAATAGCCCAGTCCATAGCTCATCCACAACTAAAAGAGTTTATCCTTCAAATACAGATCAATGCAAGGCACAGAATACTCTGAAGGTGTTCATGAATTTGATGCCCATATGCAGTATTTTTTAACTGACAACAGATTTATTATAAACTGCTGAAGGGGGAACGTTAGGCATTGTTTATGATTTGTAAGTCTTTTAGCTTCTTCCTTATTCCTGCAGCATTAACATCTAAGTTTCAACTCTCAAACCCAATAATTTGATTTAATTACATGTTTTTCCTTAATGTTATTTTTTTTTTTTACTTCTGTTTGGCTAGTTTTATAAAGGATCTTGAAATAATTTAATTTAATTTGTGAGACACGTTTATTTAGGCAGTGATGGATACAGACATCTTGTAATATTCTAGATAACAGGAAGAATAACTTCCACCCAGCTTCAGTATTTTGTTTACCTCTCTTTAAAATATTTATTTCAATAGTAAAGTAGTTATTCCCACTACCTGGCAGGTATTTGAACAGGTAGATCCTTAGCTCAAATATTTTTTTTCTCGCTTGCTCTGGTTGCACACATTGTTTCGTTTCTCTGTTGCTTTCCAGGAGCGTGGGTAGTAGCTCAGGCACAGCTGTTTTGTACCCTCACACAGAGAACTGAAACTGAGCTCTGCTCAGAAGATTTCCCATATAGACTGAAGTTCTATGCTCCTAATTTTCAGTCCTATTCTCTAACGTGCCTGCTCATTACACTGGCGGTTTCTTCTGGAGAGCAAAGCATTTCCTTTGAAACTTGCTGAGCTACTTGAGGTCAAGAAGCAAATAATGTCACTGCTAGTGGCCATTCTTTTCTGTTTTTTAATTTTTAAGTATTTCTTAGCCTTACTGCATATATTCAACATCAGCTTTAAACAAGACAAGCTCAATACATTTCATTATAGCTCCGGTTTTCTACAATTTACTTGTAATTTACTGTTACATATGTTAATTTAATGTTACATATGACATTTTACTTAATAGTGTATTGGGCTGTATTCCCCCTGTGTAATCTGTATCTCTCTGGTATTAGAGTTGGGATGAATTCGTCCCCTTTTCTATTTTTTACTGTTTTGGTCAGTTTAACAAATCACATGATGTTAGATGTTCTTTTGATATTTTTAAGTTGTAAGGAGAAGCATTGCTGAAAAAGCGCCATAACAATAGTTCTCATTTCATGGGTGTATTGATGATATTTGGAGCAAATTGTTAACTGTGGAAAGGATTGCTTTCCAAAGTCCTGATGTTTCTGATGCCATGCCAAAACTAAACCAAAGTATCTCAAAGCAGAATTTTTTTGAAAAAGAATCAGTCCAGACTTGCCTGGATCCATGGTACTTCTGCTAAACAGCCTGAATGTAATCAGATTTGCACCCTATCCCTTGCTGTGGTACTAATGTGACCTGCATTTCTAGTAAAGTTCACTGTCTTGACCTGTCAGGTTGGGTTTGGCTTCTGTCCAAACTTTTCTTGGCATAAGCACTGGCTAAGCAAATTGAGGAGTTCAGGGAATGTTTCTGGAGCACCAGATAATGCTTTATCCTATTAGTTACTAATTTAATGCTGGTGAGCGCTCTTTTCTCTCCTTGAATTAATACCCCATTTTGTACCATTGTCAAGTTCACTGTCTTGACCTGTCAGGTTGGGTTTGGCTTCTGTCCAAACTTTTCTTGGCATAAGCACTGGCTAAGCAAATTGAGGAGTTCAGGGAATGTTTCTGGAGCACCAGATAATGCTTTATCCTATTAGTTACTAATTTAATGCTGGTGAGCGCTCTTTTCTCTCCTTGAATTAATACCCCATTTTGTACCATTGTCTAATGTGTCTGCTTT